TTTCAAGCAAATTCATCCATTTTTTAGAAAGTTGTCAGCCATATTGGATCCGCCATTTTGAATTTTTAAAAACTGACATCAAATTCGTAATTTACGACCCCGAGAACCCCCGAGTAACTCCTTTCAAGCAAATTTATCCATTTTTTAAAAAGTCGTCCGCCATATTGTATCCGCCATTTTGAATTCCTGAAAAATGATATCAGATTCGTAATCAGCAACCCCAAAAACCCCCGAGGAACGAGTTTCAAGCGAATTCAGTGAATAGAAAAATGCGTGACTGAAAGGGTTAAGGCGATATTATGGATGTTTTAGTGTTTTAAGACTTCCATAATATTGCATAATTGTTTTAATCAGAGCGATGAACTATCTTAGGGTTATCTTGCTATCTTACCTGTGTCTGCAGGCTATCTTATGAGCCTTTTAGGGCTTTATGGCTACTCGATATATATACTACGCACAACAATTAGGGGATCACTTTAAAACCTACAAATTTTGTCGATATTTAAGAAACTGTATCTCTGCTTCCAAAGATCATAGGACATTTTTTCTGGTCGCGTTTTAAAGGGTGAAACTTCTTTTTTAAAACAGTTAATATAATATTTGTCGTCCAATCAAATGGGACTTTTTCACGAAGACCAGAAGCAAGATCGTGTTAAAATTCTAAAAATTTTGCGATTTTCCAAATTTTCACGGGCAAAATACGAACAGGCCGAAAAATCTTATTACATGCATTTTATAGTTTCCTTTAAAACGAGACCACGATCATTACTCTAGCATGTCTAGAAGCTGAGTTATCAGCTTCCAAAGAGAACCTTACATTTTGCAAGATTTTGGGTATTACTGCCAGCATTTGCATTACCCGATGTGCACCACAGGGAGGTTGCTCGGTCGGAATTTGCACATCATATGTCTGTGTGGGTGTGTGAGGGGTGGTATGTATGGGTGTGGGTGTGTGAGTGTGGGTGAGTAGGTGAGTGGATGGACGAGTGTGCGTGCGTGCGTGCGTGCGTGCGTGCGTGCGTGCGTGCGTGCGTGCGTGCGTGCGTGCGTGCGTGCGTGCGTGCGTGCGTGCGTGCGTGCGCATGCACACAGATTGAGATAAGGGCTCCGAGGTTTTGTCAGTCTCTCGGTATTTTACGACCCCATGCTTCCCTCCTTCCGCTTTTCCTTTCGTTCTTCCTATGCTACTATCTCCTATTCCTCGCTTTCTCTCCCTCCAGCTGGCATCACCTGTTCTAATTCCACCCCGAGTGCTCAATCATTCTTTGAAAATGAGTTTCATCTCCTTATAAATGATTCTACTTTATTCTTTACGGATGGATCTAAAACAGATCATAGTACCCATGTGGGGGCGGCGGTTTTCTCACCACAGTTGCAGGCTGAGCTCATGTATAGGCTTCCCTCGTATACTTCGATTTTTTCGGCAGAAGCCTATGCAATATACAATGCTGTCATGATTGCTATCGATATGAATCTTCAGAATGTCACTATCGTCTCTGACTCTAAGAGTGTTTTGCAGTCTCTCAACGGACATCTCAACCCCACGAATAATTACCTCATCCCGCTTATTAAATCTGTTCTTGAAAAGGCTCAGTCAAAGGGGACAAACATTCAATTTATCTGGGTTCCCTCTCACAGCGGCATCACAGGCAATGAAAAGGCCGACCAGCTCGCCAAGCGAGCTATTCGTAAGGGTATAGAACCCAACTTTAAAGTACCTTACTCGGACATTTGTGCGATCATTAAACATAAAATCTCGGAAAACTTTTATCAACATTTAATTTCGCTGGCTGATTTTAAAGGCTCATACTTTTTCTCTCACATTTTTAAAAGAACAGCTAAACCTTGGTACTTCCGCTTAAAGATCTCTAGGGACGCTATTGTCATGACTAACCGTCTGCGCTCAGACCACTATAATCTCAACCATAGTCTCTTCCGCAAAAACTTGACTGAGAACCCCTCCTGCCCTTGCGGAGACCCTAAACAGGATATCCTTCACCTAATATATGAATGTCCTTATTCCAGGGACGCGGCGCGTTTTTTGCGACGTTTGATCGATCGCGTCGCGACTGATAATGATAACCTTAAAAAATTTTCGCAAGTTATCGCTAAGCCTACTGCAAAACTCTGTAGACTTATTCTTAGTTTTAGCAAAGCATGTGGCAGACAATTTTAACGCTTTTAGTTTTCGCGCCTCCTCGCGGCCTGCGCAAGCGCTCCTCCCTGCCCTTCTTGCCTCCCCCTCCCATCCTAGCGGAGCTATGCTCCGTTTTTACCAGGCCACACCGTCGCGAGGTTATCTGCTTGGAGACATTTACTCCAGCATGGTGCACAAGTTCGCACTTATTTATTACTAGTTACTATTATAGTTTACTATTGAGACGTGATCTGGCCGTATCGACCTCCTATTTTACTGTTTGGAGGCGGGTGCCATTAAATAAAGAAGAAGAAGAAGAAAAAGAAGTCTCCTTACTCTTAGGGTGCACTCAGGGTGCAGTCACATGAAGTCAGAAATAACGGAACGGAACAGTAACGGAACATTGATAGAAAAGAGATAGAACAATCCTATCTCTTTTCTATCAATGTTCCGTTCTCATTCCGTTCCGCTATTTCTTTCTCCATCGGGACGCACCCTCAGATGGAGCGGATCTGCGGAAATGCGGAATTGGCGGAATTGATGTGATTGATCGTTGCTTCATTCCGTTATTTTCATTTCGCAGATTTATTTTTCCTATGTTCACATGAACCGGATCTCGCGGAAGCGGAAATTTTATCGACTAATGATATTAACTCGTACAGCGGACGTTTTATACTTATCTATCTAAAGAATACATTCCATTGGGTAGGACTGTTTTACGCTTCTGTTAATTTTGCACCATGTGAACATAGGAAAAATATTTCTGCGGAACGGAGAAAACGGAAAAAACGTTTATATTGAAATACTTACAATATAAATTATAACGTTTATATTGAAATATTCAAACACTGTTTATTAGCTGTGTGCGAAATGATTCCTTCTATTAAAATTCTGATCCTGATATGCGGATTAATAAAAAAATTGCGGTTGAGTGAAGATGTTTTTTATCAACAACAATTACGACAAAAAATTGCCAAATTATACATTTTTTATAAAATAAAACGAAAGAGGGAATGCACACAACGAACATGTTGGGTTCGCCCAATATTCACTTGCGAAAGACGATTTCTACAAGGAGCCAGTGATAATCTTATTAGGGAAATGGAAAACGAAGATGTTGAGAATTATGTAGATTACTTTCGAATGCCATCTCAATTATTTAATAAATTGTTGAAGTTAATTGAACCAAACATTATCAAACAAAATATAATTCATGATCCAATTCCATCGCACACTTCGTTTGCAAGTGATGTTAAGATATCTGGCTTCGGGTGATAGTATGAAATCGCTATCTTATGCTTTTCGCATTGGACACAGCACCGTGTATCACAAATAATAACTGAAACATGTCATGCGGTATGGAACACGTTGAAGGACTTAGTTTTTATCGCTGACGACGAAGAGAGTTGGCAAGTTGTAGCTGATAAATTTGAATCCCTGTGGAACTTTCCTCATTGCATAGGTGCCATTGATGGAAAGCATATTGCAATTCAAGTATATTAAAGAAATCTTTTAAATTCGTTAAAACATATATTACATAGCTAGAGGTTTTCTTGTAAAATAGGCTCCACCACAAAGCGGCTCAATATACTATAATTATAAGGGTCATCACAGTATCACGTTACTAGCAATAAGCGATGCCAAGTATTGTTTTACAATGGTGGATATTGGTGCAGAAGGAAGGCAAAGCGATGGAGGAATTTTTAGGTCTAGTGAAATTTGGCAAGCGTTTTGAAGCTCAAACATTTAATATACCTCAGGCAAAGTCATTAGAACCTGGCGGACCAGCTTTACCGTTTGTTTTGGTGGTAGACGAAGCTTTTCCGTTATCTAATTACATGATGAGGCCCTATCCACGTAATGGACACCTTGATATCTCCAAAAAAGTCTTTAATTATAGACTTAGCCGAGCCAGACGAGTAGTGGAGAGCGCTTTCGGAATTCTAGTCGCTCATGCATTGGAGAATATTTCGAAAGCCACTTATTGCAACGGTCAGTAATGCAAGATTGATAGTGCAAGCAGCTGTTGTTTTACACAATTTTATTCTACAAAACGAAGAGAAATTGACAGGAAAGAAAACGTATACCCATCAACCTTTCCAAGATCTACATGAGACCAGCAATAGAATTCGTGACACAACAGTTCACCGTGTGGACGAAGTAGTAATGCATGCACTGTACTTCGTGACAATTTTTCTGTCTATTTTCAAAGTATTAGAGCTATTCCATTCCAATGGGAAAAAGCAATTGAAAATAATTTTTAAAAGTGTTTTGCTAAAAAAAA